CGGAACGGAAGACGAGCAGCATCATAATCCTTCGGATGAGCATGAAGAATGGCACTGGGTCGGACGTCTGGCTAACCCAATGAACCCGAACTGCTCATTGCATTGTGTGTGTGGCATAGCTGCGCCAAAAACTTCAGCTGGTTGGCTCAGAAACCAGATATGTCAGAGTCCCCTGCATTAACTGGGTCATTTGGACGACGTGTAGGGAAATGAAAGTGGCCGACAGACAGCCAGGATCAGAAAAAATCTTTGTAGCGGCTTTCGATGATGGTGGTCTATGTTGACGATGTGTTTGGTCGTCGTTGGTCACGTCTTCAGACGATGACCACGACGATCAGCATTGAAATATTGAAACATGGTGCTTACAAGGACCAAGGTCAAGCTCCCAGAATCAGAGTGAGTTTCTCATCCAACACGCTTATCTCGTCCTCAGTGAATATCTTTAGTTTGACAAATTGCAGTTTACTGCTTGTTGCGTGCAGTTGCCCGTACTCGGTCGGTCCCCGCGTTAGAAGCGCTCTACGCTGTCGCCTTTCTCTGTGCACCGGTTCTGGACCATACTCAGTGCCGTATGTTACCCTTGGCTCACGCGACGGGATTGGAAAAATAAGATTGTGGACTGTGCGGACCACTGCCCGGACTCCGGAGGTTCTGAAAACTCGCCGGAGGGAGTAGCTGAGAGACACGATGCGCGGTGACGAAATCTAGTGGGTTGATTGGTTCATTTGTGCCTTAGTATGAGCTCTAACGAACAATTTATTGTTCGTAGACATCGTCCGGAAACAATCGAGCATTTGTTCCTACAACTACCGAGCACATCGCTGTCAGCGAGAAACAAGTTCTAACGCTGCTACACGTTGCATCCAATGTTATACCCGTACCATTGGTACAAGAAACTATCGGAGTTGCGCCGAAAGTCATTGAACTCTGCGAGGTTCGTCTTTTTTGGTCCCACTATGACGAAGGGCTTTAAACAAATTTCAGGACGCATCGCCGGCTGTTGAA